GTTCAGCTGCGGTCTGCGAGGCTCGCAAAATGTTTCTAACCTACGGGGTCATTTAGGCTTCCTTTATTTGCCAACCTAAATTTCATCCACGCGGCACACCTTATCCCGCAGGATAAGGTTGTCGTTTCGTCTTCTGGCGCCTATGAGTATATCGAAAGGTAGTTGCTGTATCGACAACAACAGGGATCCCCAAGTCACAAGTCAGGGAAGACGGTGTTGGTGGACAGAGCTTACTGCCAGAAAATGAACGGTACAAAGGCTGTGTTCTGAAACAGCTGCCAGCTGCGTCTGCAAACCAAGTGTGTCCGCGAAGTTGCTTTGGTTTGCCTGCGCGATGAGTACTCTGCCGCCTGCAGCCAATAAAATAAAGCGGGAGTATCGATTAGCGCGGCAAGTCGACAGCAAGCGTGGGACGCGCGAATTCCCACCGGTCTTTTGTGTCCTGAATGACTGACCATCTATGTTACCTATCCACTCTCCACTTTTGTCAAATTTTCCGGTTTTCTTTTTTTTCTGTTTAGATACGAACTATCTGATGACATTCCAGACCATCCGCAACTGATTAGCTATGGTCCCGATTATGCCCTCAGCGTTACCAGTTCAATGTGCCAGGATAAAAACTCTGAAACTGTCCTCAAGGGCCATACTGATCGCCTTTTGAAGCAGCTAGGAGAATTTTGTGATACAAATGACTTGACTTTTGCCCTTTGATGTTGTAACCCCTTTTTTTCTCCTTTCCCGAACCTATTTCAATTGTTTCCTGTTTTACATTTTGTCACCACCAAATGTATGATTCGCTGGTTTGTGTTGGGTAGCTTAATGTGAATATACCATTTTAACTGTACCTTCAACTGTTTCGTCTACTTGCGTGTAGCGTCCTGTCTAAGAGTAAGCCACTGGTGTGAGGAATCACAGTCAGTTGGACCTCAAACAATTTAGCACTGAGACTGCCCCCGTCCGTCCCCACCATCCCATCTAAATTTTTGTCCTCAAAATGTGCAAATTGGGGAGGGCTGCCCCCAGCACGTTCGTCTGATCCAGGTCTTGGTGACTGCCTCTGTTTTGTTGGCTTTCTCAGAGTTTCTGGATACTCTTTTCGGTTACATCTTTGCCTTTGATCGAGACCAGATAAGTTTTTGTCAGGGGGCCGATTGGGCTCTTTTGTCTTAATTCAGTTTTTTGAAGGAAAATAGACAAAGGCCTGTAAGTTCCCTATTGGTGACATAGTGACTGAAAAATGCATTGATACAGTAGAACGATTTAAATAGTGGTTGTTCGCATGGTTGCAGGCGAAAAGTTAGTAGCTATCAGTTAGTGGGAAATGGTGAACATACACGACTACTCAATCATTGCAAGTAGTGTAATTATATAGTTACAGTATCTCGGATACTAGGCAACGCCAACTACACGAGCGATTTGGTGGGACAAAATAAAAAAATGGCAATGAAGAAACTCCCTGTGCAGTTTCCGGAAACTATCGATATTTTGAATGTGATTTGAGGAATTTTAAGGAGAAAAACTGTCGCCAACGGTAAGAAAAAGTGTACGAGATAGAAGAGTCGTGCTGATGAGGATCTTAAAGCAGGACAAGGAAGCTTATCACGGCAATTGGCACTATGGTTATGGTAACACTGAGGAGGATGTCGTAGAGGTCTCGGGGTGCCGGAGCTACGACCATGATACGTCTTTACCGATTGCCGCGGCTGCCATCAAGTTGGTGAAAACAGGAGAATCCGCCACGATTGTCAACTATCCGTTGGTTGTCGAAGTACGTGAGCTGCATGCATAGTATTGTGATCCACCATTAACATCGGGCTCGTATGTAGTGGGAACGATGATAGTGGGAAGTTTACTGGTGGGTTCTAACCGCGGACAAGCAAAGAAGTGTGTGCAAAACGCTTTAACAAATAAGTA